GGGAGGTGTATCTGAGGGAGACTGCAAATGCTATTGTCAGTCAGCAAACTCCACAAAGGTACCAGTATAAAATGATGACAGTAAAGGTTTCATTATCAAGATATAATAGGACACGTATTAACTATTTTATGCTAATACCATGCCATTTTGAATTATAATTAAACCCTGAATATAGATATTCACCCTTTAAGGAAAATGTAGGATTTAACTTCAGAAATTTAGTAGTTCAGTGTAGTTGGTGTGTGGTACTATGCCTTTTATTAAGCCATAATGTCATGAATGTTATGGCTTACATGTGATCATGTAAAAGTGGAACGTATTTTAATTTTAATTTTCCTTTCAGGATCTCAGATGACTTAATACTAACACACAACAAAGCTAGACATAATGATTGTAACTTTCTGGTAAAAGACAATGTATAACTTTGTAATTGATGATGCCTCACGTGCTAGAAAGACACCAGACTATAAATCAGACTTCTAGTTCTTGTCCTGAACTTTTAGCTCAGTGTTCTTGATTAGGTAACTTCATTTTAGAGTTTTATCTTCATTTGTATATTGAAGATAATACGATTGCCCCACCAAGGGTACTTGTGCCTTTGTTTTGAAGAGCAAAAGATTAATGGTTTGAAAACTAGAAAACCCTGATGACCATGAGTTCTGCTAAGGATAGCATTGTGTATATACTGTTTTTATTTTTACCCAGGAAATATTTTTTGACACATTTGCTGCGAAATTGTTTCCATTACTTCTGTAGGTCTATTATTCATATCTTGACCATTCTGAAAATACCTCAGCCGACAGTTGTTTGACTTGTGGCAGCTTTGATTGAGAAGCACAGTTTGCTTTTCTCCAAATAAAAAATGACAGTGTTAAGGCCCACTAACTTTGGAGTGTATGGAGAAGGTTTCTCAGACTTGCTAAAGCAGTCCCGTATCCTTGTTGGCTGTCTGAACTGAGAAACGATCTTTGGACCTTGCAGAAGGTAATTGACCATTTTAGGGTTCAGAATAGACTGTGTGCAGCCAATAGAACTTAGTCTTCCCTAGTCTAATGAAAATAATAGTAAGAGGAATATGCCATGTTTCTCCTTCTGATGATACATCTGATGAAGTCTAATTTTTATAAGAAATTATTCAAAGGAATTATAACATGTATTCCCTGGTTACCATATAGATTGGTAGAGGTGAATGGTGAATTATACATAGTGGGTGGTTAGTATTTTATTTAAGGTTTGCTTTGAATTCTCAGAATTCCATTATTTTAGTTGAAGAAATTGATAGTTTTCTCCAAGAAGTACCAAACATTTTAAGTAGTCTCATTAGGAAAAAACCTTCATCTTTAGGAAAAAGTACCCATTTTATTTCGTAAAATGTTGATTATCAATAAAGAGATCTTGCCCTTTAAATAGATAAAGTTCAAATAAAGCATGTCTTAGGTGCTTTTATGTTTATAAAATATGACTACACTGAAGATGACTTTCTTGTTTTTGTCCTGATATTAAAGAAGAAATTTTGGTAGTAGTAGAAGTTACCTACTTTTAAGGGATTTAGGTACTCTATGTGTAATATTTGACAATTATCACATGCATTTTTAAAGTGACTTGATTATTCCTTTGCTTAATTCTTCTAGCTGCTGTTACAATTTCTTATGGTTTTCCTAACACATTTTGGCAGCTTATAAGTGAACTTGTGAAAGAAGAGATACTCCTGTTTCCTGTTCAAACTAACAATTGTAGGAATTGATTCCATTGTGCTACATAAAAAGAAATTTCGCTCAATTCCAGAAAGGCTTGGGGCTGGCCAGAAGTCCTGGAATTCTGATACCTTTCTGATCATTGGGCCACACAGTTCCAAATGATTTCTGATTTCTGACTCCTTTGTCTTGCTGAAATATTTATGGTCTTGATTTTTCATTTGATCTGTCTTAGAACAGTCATAATTTTCTAATTTGAATAGCAGCTAATGTTTCATGAATGATTATGTCAGCTCTCATACCTCCTTATTTAATTGATATAACAGACCTATGAGAAAAATATAACTTCGTAGATAAAAACAAAAACAAAAAAACAACCCTGACATTTATGGAGATTAAATAACTTGTTCAGGGATATCCTATTATTAATAGACAGACACAGTTCTAAAATACCCATGTTTCTCTGACAGAAACTTGTGTACTCTTAATCCCTTGTAAGCTATTAGGACATAATGATACAGACATGGTAAATGTAGAATATGTTAATTTTTAAAAACAGTAATATTAGAAGTGAGCTCAGACTAACACAAGATACATGTTAACATGTATGCATTGCACACAGTGTAGTTAATTCAATTGTGTAGGTAACTACATCCTGAATCAACTTTTCAGAAATAAGCTATATGCATATATTAAAATAATTTCACACCATTTATCATTTATTATTCATGCTTTAATAATCAAGTTTAATTTTTGGGATGTCAGAAAGCAGGCTTTTGAGTCAGGCCTGAATTCAAATGCTGACTCAAATACATGAGTCTTGATGGAAGCCTGAGCTTTCTGAAGGTTTGTTAATTCATAAAGTAAAACCATACAGTGGGTACTTGGAAAAATTACCCCTATTTTCTTCACAAAATACCAATCACTTTGTTTTTTATAGGCTCCTTGAAGTTCGTGGAAGGCTATATGAGCTTCTAACTCATTGTATTCCTCCTGAGATAATAATGAAGGTAACCCAGTTTCAGATCTTGAACTTTTTACAGCTATAAAATTTGGACATTGGGTGTGCGATCATAGGGCGTTTTGCAGTACCAAGATACTACTTCTTTCTCTCCAACTCACTAATTGCACATATTTACTAAATCTCTATTGTGTGCCAGGCACTATTAGAGGAATGCTGAAGAAAAGAAGGGAGGGCTTGCCTATAGCAAAGTTATATTCTAGTGGTGTGAAAAGGAGAACAAATAAAGCAGCAAGAGGATTTCAGAATGTTATAAGCGCTATAAAGGAAATACTAAGGTGCAGTGATAATAATGCAGGGTGGGGCTACGAAGAAAAAAGTGAAGGTCCACCCTTCCGTTTCCACAAAGGTAACCACTTTTAACAGACTTCTAGTCACATAGAAATAAGTACGTGTATATATGAAGTTTCATAAAACTTCTCAGTTTTCTGCACTCTTTTCATTCATTTTAGTAAGGATGTTGTGTCATAACCATATGTATAGATTTACTTTGTTCTATTAAGTGGATGGTTTTCTGTTGTGTGACTGTATCATAGTTTTTCCAAACATGACCTCTATTGATGGAACTTTAGTCTACAAATTATTATTGTTATAAATAGTGCTGCATCTTTAATATCCTTTCACCTTGTGCAGTTACTGTTTGGAATTTAGAATGTGGTTGATACCCACCACATTTTTACATCATGGAAAAGGTACCAAAGTTTTTGCTTTTGGATGAAGGATATTGATTCACGTGAAAGAATTAAAGATCTCACATATATAAAAGAGAGTATGTTTAACTTTAGTCTTTTTGTGAATGAGAGAAATGAGGCATGCTTAGCTATTTTTATTAATGATTTTAAAATTGCTGATTATTTTTCTTTAGGGCCTTCTCTTAGAACTGTTACATAATTGTGATGGACAACTGAAAGGGGAAGTGGCCCAAATGGCAGCTTATTATGAACATCGTCTACAGCTGGGTAGCAAGGCCATTTATCACTTGGAAGCATTTGTGGCCAAATTCATGGCACTTTATAAGAAGTTCATGGAGGATGGATTGGAAGGCATGATGTTCTGACTTTTATCAGTTATTCTTGCAAAGATTTCTCAATATCATTATTTACATACAGCTTATATTAAGACTTGAGGGTAAATTTACTTAATCATGTTGTATTTGTGTTTTTTTGGTAATAACTTCTCTGTGAACTATTAATCATCCTCTAAGTTAAATAATTTTTGCTATACTATTGAATTATGTAGTTTTGTACATATCTTAGAGACTTTAGAGTCTAGGAAAATGATTTTAATTTGCTTTAAACATTTGTTATTCAGGTATTCATTGTTGATCCTCCTATTCTCTTCCGTCTAATGTCTCACCTGCTAAAAGAGATTTATACATCAGAAAGCAAAGATTATGTTCGTTTATCCAGATGACCATTTTCTGCCACAGGTAACATGATTGTCTGACAGGTCATTATATTGAATTCTAGTTTCTCTTAGTGAATAATTACATTTTTGTAGGAAATGTAAGAATTCATTCTGAAACATAATTGTTAATATGAACAAAATTACAAGTACCATTTCTGTTGAGACTGCAGATTTCCAACTTTTATTTCAGTGGTTCAGATTAGTGTTAGGTCACTACTAAGAAATAAGCATGTTTTCATTAATTTAAGTACTTCAAACTCTTGAAGAAAATTCAGAATGTAAGAATGGTATGTTATTGTAGTAATTACTCTTTGAACAGGTTTAGTGTTTTGTCATTAGTTCTGCCCTTTGGATCATTTTTTAATTAAATTCTTCGGTTCGTGGTCCAAAGGGTTTACTTGACAAATTTGTGTGATAGACTCTGAACAATTCCTTTCCTCTGAAGTATAATTTATGAAATAAAATGTACCAATTTTAAGGGTACAGTTTGATTTTTAACTAGTGAAACTATGATCCCAATCAAGATATAGACGCCATCACCCCAAAAAGCTCTCTGCATATCCCTTTGCAGTCAGTTCATTCCTACCCTAGGCCCAGATAACCACTGATCTTGTCATTATAGATGAGTTTTGCCAGTTCAAGAACTTAAGGAAATCAAATATTGTAAGCATTCTCATGTAATACTTCATTCTCTCTCATTATTGAGATTCATCCATATTGTTGAATGTTTCACTAATTTTTATTGTTCAGCATTTTTGTATATACTTTTAAAGCCCATTCACTTGTTGGTGGATCTTTGGTTTGTTTCCAGGTTTGGTTATTATGAATAAAGTTGCTGTGAATCCTTATGTGTAAGTCTTTTTGTGGACAGGTTTTTATTTGTCTTGAGTAAATACCTAAGAATGGAATGACTGGGTATACGGTACTGTAACATTAACTTTTAAGAAGTTGCGAAACTTTCCTAAAGTTATACTACTTTACATTTCTATCAGCAATATAAGAGAATTCCTGTTGTTCCTATAGTTTTGGTTTCATTGACTTCTATGTTGTTGTCCGTTTATATTTTATTAACCATCTTCTACTTTTTTCTTCTACTTAATTTTCTAGGTTATGAACTTGGAAATTTAAATAGTTAATTTTAGACTATTTTTTTCTAATAACATTTAAAGTTATAAATTTCACCCTGAGTACTGATTAAAAGCTTTCTCCTACAAATGTTGACATTTTAGGTTTTCATTTCTACTTAGTTCAAACTTTAATCGTTTCACTTATGATTCTTTTTTTTTTTTAGCCCAATTAATTACTTGGAACTATGCTGGTAAATTTCCAAGTACTTAGGGATTTTCCAAATGTATTTTTACACCTCTGTCTTTCTTAGTTTTTATTCTTTTACTGAGAGAAATATTGAAATCTCCCTCCATAGTTATGCATTTATCTAATTCAGTTCTTTTAGACTTTATGCATTTTGAAGATCATTATTAGGTACATGCATATTAGGATTGTTATGTCTTGATATATTGACTCCTTTATCATTATGAAGTTCCCAGTTCCTTCTCAGTCTTTTGGCTAGGATCATGTGTATGAAATGCCCTTTTTTATTTCTAGTAATATTCCTTGCTGTGAAAATCTACTTTTTCTAATATTTATGTAGACACCTCAGCTTGCTTTTGATTAGTGTTTGCATGGTAGGGGTATTTCTTGTACTGTATGTCTGCTAACAGTTTTTTCAGTTTTTGTTTGTTTGGAATGTATCTTTCCATTTGTAGAATTATTTGTTTATCTGGGTTTTTTAAACCCCCAGCACTTTGAATATGTCATTCTGCTGCCTTTAGGTTTCCATTGTTTCTGATGAGAAGTTAGCCAATAGTCTTGAGGTTGTTTCATTCGTTTTACATGATGAGTCAGTTTTCTTTTGCTGTTTTCAGTATTTATTTTTCTTTGGATTTTAGTAGTGTATGATATGTCTACATGTAGTTTTCTTTGTATTTCTCCTACTTGGGCTTTTTTGAATCAGATTATTATGAGTTATATTAGTTGCTTTGAACTATTTGTTAAACATCTGGCCCCACTCAGAGTCAGTTTCTTTTGGCTGCTTTTTTTCTTGTGTACTATTACACTTTTCTCTTTTTTCCCTGTCTGGTAATTTTTGGTTGAAAACATGACGTTTTAAATAATATATTTTTGCAGCTTAGGATTTTCATTTTTTTTTTTCTGATGGTTTTTCCTCCTGATGGTTTTCTGTTTTTGTTCCATGGCTTGTTTAGATGTCAGCTGTGTAATTTGTCTCCATTGCATTGTGCAGTCACTGGTGTTTCTGCTCAGTCGCTTTTATTTTAGCCTGGCTTTATCTTTCTGTCTGTGTAGTTTAGTGACCAACCAATGATTTGAACAGTTTATGCTTAGACGTCATGAGACTACAAGGCCACTGAACTACATGTGGAATAAGGAATGCATTCAAGGTTGCAATCAGTCCTCAGCACCCCTTGGTTTTTATTTATTATTATTATTATTATTATTTTTCTTCTGAGACAGAATCTCACTCTTGTTGCCCAGGCTGGAGTACAGTGGCATGATCTCGACTGCAACTGCCACCTCCCGGTTCAAGTGATTCTCCTGCCTCAGCCTCCTGAGTAGCTGGGATTACAGGCAACCACTACCATGCCTGGCTGATTTTTTGTCTTTTAGCAGTCAATCAGGTAAATGTGGGAGCTTAACTTAACCTCTCTGGTTTTTCCACTTCTAGGATCTCAGTTTAATTTCTGATTTGTCTGTTAATGGCCATGAACTAGGCCTGCAACTTTGGGCTAGCAAAGCTATCGTATGAGTTTTCCCTGATCCTTTTAGAACCAAGTCTGCCATTTTTATCCAGCAAAGCAATGAGTTTTACTCGCCCCAACCCTGAATTAAGTCCACTGCTCTGGCTGCATGCATCCAGTCCTAAACTTACAAAGCTACAATTTGTACTGGCTAAGTGACAGGTGCATGGTTGCATCACCAGGCACAGAAGGTCATAGTGTTACTACCATTTTTACCTGAAGCTGATCAGTTTTTAAATAATAGACATTTTTCAATTTGTTGTTCAACTTTAATCAGTTTTCAGTGTACTGAATTGGTTTTTTTTTTTTTTTTTTTTTTTTTTTTTTTTTTTTTTTTTTTTTTTTTTAACAATTTTCTTCACTTCTGTACTTAACTGCAGTGGGAAATCGCCCCATATCTTCCTATTTCCATTAGTCGAAGTAGCCATCCATTGATTCATTTCTTCATTGCTTTTGCAGATTCAAATTTCGTTCTGGCATTATTTATTTTAAAGCCCAAAAAAGTTTATAATTTCTTGTAAAGAAGGTCTGCTGGTGAATTATCTCAGAGTTTTTTGGCCTAAAAATGTCTTCATCTTGCATTCCTTTTTGAAAGCATTTTCAATGGAAAAAATGGAGATTCTTTCAAAATACAAAATACAGATGAAATACTGTAGTTTGACTGTTTTTCTTCCCATCTGTATTTTGTCTTCTGGGTTGTATTGTTTCTGAAGAGAGATCTGTAGTCATCATATTTTTAATTTTATTTTACTACTATGGGTCCTTTTAAGATTTCCAGCTTCTCTTTATAACTAGTTTCCAGCAGTTTGAGTAAGATGTCTCTTGGTGTGATTGTGTGTGTGTGTGTGTGTTTATCTTGCTTTATATTACTTTGGGTTTGTTGCACTCCTTGATTTATGGGCTTATGTATTTTATTAAAGTTTGAAAAATTGTCTTTGAATATTTTTCTGCCCCCTCCTCTAAGACTACATCTTTATTTGGAGTGTCACATAAGTCACAGAGTCTCACTTTTTCCTAGCTTTTTCTCACTGTCCTACAGTTTGAATTGTTTCCTTCAAGTTTCCAGCTCTGGCAGTTTCATTTGCTGCTTTTTAATGTTTCTCATTGTTTTTATGTTTCTCTTTAAATGTTTTAAACATACTTATAATAACTCTTTGAAGTCCATATGTTTATTATATCTGTCATTTCTGGATCTGCTTCTGTTGACTCAGTTTTTTCCTGGTTGTGGGTCAGATTTCTTGCCTTTTTGTATGTGTATTAATTTTGATTGGATTCTGGCTCTTTTGACATTATAGTGTCATGTTACATTATCAAGTGTCTGAATTCTGGATTTTTAAACTATTGGACTTCGTCTTGGCAGACAATTACAGTAGACTCTTGAACTCCACAGGTCTAAATTGCGTGTAGTGACTTAATTAGAAAGTATTCATAGACAAACTGCGTAACCTAGGAATATTTTTAAAAATTTTAAAAAGGTACATCATGAATGCATAAAATATGTGTAGATATTAGTCTTTCATTATTTACTATGATAAAATATATACAAATCTATTATGAAAAGGTGAACTTTATCAAAACTTTCATAAACTCAGACCATACATGGTGATATGCACAGCCAAGAGAAATGTAAAAAAAATGCAAAATTCGGGGATCCTTAACTCCTCTGTGGCCTATTAGGAAAGGGGCTGCACAGCAAGAGGTAAGTGACCAGTGAGCACCAGACACTGTTACCACCTCAGCTCCACCTCCTGGTCAGCTCAGTGGCATTAGATTCTCATAGGAGTGGAAACTGTTGTGAACTGTACATGTGAGGGATCTAGGTTGTGTACTCCTTATGAAACTCTATGCCTGATGATCTGAGGTGGAACAGTTTCATTCCCCTCCATCACCACCCCCCTACCTTCTGGGGTCCATGGAAAAATTATCTTCCACAAAACTGATCCTTGGTGCCAAAAAAGTTGGGGAGTGCAATATTAAATGATAACTGCATAAAATTACAGTACATACTATGCTGCCATAATACTTTTGTAGCCATCTTTGTTGATACTGCAGTGAGCTTAAGTGTGAGCATTCATTTAAGACACCACGTAGCACTAATATCTCTGAGCAGTTTGTGTTGCCAGTAAATTGCATATTGCAAGAAAAGTGATCTCCTGTGGTTCTGAAGTATTTTTCACCATGTTTAGTGCAATAACATAAGCCTTGAATAATACCATGAGACCCATATGAAGGTTACTAGTGGTGCTGGAGGTGCTCTCAAGAAGCAGAGGAAAGTCATGATGTAAGAAAAAGTTGAATTGCTTGTAAAGTACCTTTACAGATTGAGGTCTAAAGCTATGGTTGCCCTCCATTTCAGACAGTGTATTTGTTTTGAAGTGTCAGTACAGTACTGTAAATGTAATTTCTCTGACATATTCAATATTTTCTATAGTTTTTGTAACAATACAGTATATAAAACATATACAAAATGAGTTGACTTTATGTTATTGCTAAGGCTTCCAGGCAACAATAGGCTATTGGTAATTACATTTTGGGGGAGTCAAAAGTTATACAGGGGTTTTTGATTGCATAGGGGTTTGTTCCCTTAACCCTTGCATTGTTCAAGGGTCAACTGTATTTGATTATCAGCTTGTTCTTTTTCATGCTTATTTGTAACCTGCAGTAGTCTTTAGTTCTAATTTAGTTTTACAATGGGGGCATGATGGTTCTGGTGTCTCTAACTGCATGCCCTGGAGATCATTGAGGTGTCACCACCCTGGGTCACCAGAACTCACATATCTTCCAGCCTTGTGGGAGCTCTGGAAATTATTCAGCTTGTAGTTTTTATTTTATCCATGGTATTAGCTACTTGTGGTCAACTGCAGTTTGAAAATATTATGTGGCCAGGTGTGGTGGCCGTGCCTGTAATTCCAGCACTTTGGGAGGCTGAGGTAGGGGAATTGCTTGAGCCCAGGAGCCCGGGACTGAGCTGGGCAACATATTGAGACCCCTGTTTCTACAAGTGATAAAACAGAAAATTAGCTGGGTGTGGT